TCTCTCTCTCTCTCTCTCTCTCTCTCTCTCTCTCTCTCTCTCTCCTCTTGAATGATGATGCGTCTAAATGATTGTCCCGCTCTTGAATGAAAATAAGTCGGCATTCTGTGTGAAGGAACTTCTTCCGGAACTCTTCCATTAGATTCCTGGGTAATCCTCCTACGCAAGGACCCTGTTTTCTTGTCTTGTGAACGGTGGATGCATGTGTACTGAGTGATGCGATCCATCTTTTCCTATGCACGTCTCATTTTTGCACCTTCCACAGKGAATGCATRTAGGGAATGAGTGACTCTTTTGTTGATTAGACGATTGTCGTCGGGATTTTATTCGAGAATGCAAGAGTGTTTAGATCCGTAGCTCTGTTTACACTGCGCATGTCATCTGCCTTATGATGCACGACATCAGCAGCCGAGTCACGAGGCGGCCCTTAGAAACAAGGCACCCAGGGACCAACGTTGTGATGGGCTGATCGAACCCGTAGCCATATGCGTGATCAAGCTGATCTGTGTTTGCCCCCTCTCTCTCTCTCTCTCTCGCTCTCTCATGTCAAGAAGGATTGATTGAGGGTTGCACAAATGATTTCATGTTTTTGATGACGTCTCGGGATATTTATGATTAATGGATATGTGGACCGACAAGCATCCTTCGACTGGGCGCAAGCCTCCCGTATCTCCCATCCCAACGCGACCTTTTCCTTACAGTGAGGAAAGGACACGTGTATGCGAGTGGGACGTACGAGAAGTCGTTGCACGAATCGACGGACAATATTACTTCCCTCCTGAAAATCGTTGTTTTGGATTCGTAGATGCGGGCTTTGTTATTATCGATACGCACTTCCCACCTTACTCGGTATTGTTGCCATTTAACGAGTTGATCGTCATTCCGTGGACGGCAGTAGAACCCCACTGGCTGCGCACTCTGTGCACCGAATGTCAGCATTTTGAGCGCTACGAGTCCAGGGGTTTCCACTACCGTGTGCAGAGTGAAGACGAGCATAAAGAAAGAGCCACACGACTGAGACCATCCACGTCGGACTCAGAACTAACCAGCGAGCGACGACGAGATTTGATACGAAAACGAGACACGCGAAGCGTGCCAAAACCTTTTTGCTCCAAACGACGGGCAGTAGCCCGGTGGGAAGCCCGACAGTATTTTTTGGATTAAATTTGGGTCTTTCTGTTTTCGCGCCACGTCCGCGCGCGCATTCCGCGACGCGCGAAACTAACCAACTTGCTCCATCGGACCAACACGGGGGATTTCAGTTCCGTCTGTGTCCCCACACTCAATTTCCAAAAATCCTTGGCACACCCCATATTGCTGTTTTTCTGGGCCTCTTTCCGCATGACTAACACTCCGAACGAAAGACAGCACAAGGCGTGAGGTTGGTATCGGAGCCGACACGTGTCGGTTCTGATGATAGCAAGTCGAACTGGCGAGAGATAGGAGAGAACCTCAACTAGCTCGTCGAGATCGCTCCGTAACCAGGTCTCAGTCTAGTGCAGCTGTGCCAGCAATACCAATGGAAGACGGTACTAGGGTGATCGTTAGCATCTCTTCCCCCTTCCCCTTCTTCCCCAACCATACCCATCCCGAGGCTTGGCTGGAAGTTGTCGAAGCTCAAAACTACAACGCAACCGATTTTCCCCGTGTTCTGACATTGCTACTCCGCAATACCTCGCACGATTGGTTCAGAAAGCATACATGGGTAGATTGGAAGACTTTTAAGCGTGCATTCTTGGCTCGATTCGATACGATTAGTGAAGATGCCGCCTGGTACGTGCTCAAAAATCGACCCCAAGGTTCAGGGGAATTGTTACCCGATTTCGTTGATCGATTTCAAACCACATTGGATAAATCCGGGCGAGACGAGAATTCCGTTCGAGACTTGTTTATTGATCACCTTCGAAGTCCGACCTTGAAAGGGAAACTGCAGAAAAAGGTTCCATCAAAAACAACCCAGTTGCCCGCTATCATCACTAAAGCGTTGGAGCTAGACTTGGCTGATAAAAAAAAAAATATCAGCCAGGGAGACGAGGATATTACAGATACCATACGGGCTGTAACGGCCAAGAGGCGATCTTGGTTATAGGCGGTCGAACGGTTTTATCCCCGCCCCGATCATGACCTTCCCAGCGGAATCGTCTTTGATATCCCGGCTGCTTCTTCTCCCTCTCCCCTCGTGAATCAACCAATCGCAGCCGTTAGAAGCGGAACCCTATCCGAGCCCCCCTTGCCAGCCATAACCAATTCGCATCTTGCCCAGATGATCTATACGGCCACTACTAAGCAGTCCGAATGGATGAGTAACCTGATCCAAATGCAGGCGGCTCACATGAAACGAATGGAGATGATAATGAGCCGGCTCATTAAGCCTAACCCGGCTCTGGCCCGACCTACCCCTGCATCGTTTCCGCTCTTACCTGCTCCACCTGCTCCAGGATTCGCCCCTCAGTTTCCCCTTCTAGCTAATCCGACAGGAAAGATCGAGTGTTTCAACTGCAAACAGCCCGGGCATTTCGCCCGAGACTGTCCGCAGCCAAAACGTAATCAACCTCCCCCTGCTGCGGCCCCAGTCGCCCTTAATCAAGGA